AACAGGTTTAACAAAGGTACGTGCTTTTAATAAATAAACACGGGTTAACGAAGATATAGAAGCTATAAATTTAGTTCTGACAAGGGTCGACGATTATTGTACAAGGGTCCAACAAGAAACCGTAACACCGCAAATAATTTCGTTTCACCGTACACCGGAGGTTTAAAAACACAAACAACGCACACCGCAGGATTTGAGATCACCGCAATACCGCAATGTGGGATTTTATTCACCGAAATACCGCATAAAAAACTGAGCAACACCGCAACACCGCAAACCCCAATGTCCCCTCTTTACAGACTCTTTACATTTCTCCATTGCATATTGGCATGCAAGCCAACCAGCTCATCAATTGACTATCAAACTACAGCTAACTTTTTTGTTTCACACTTGTGCCTTTTGAGAACCTAACCAACTAAAAGGGCAGCATTAGCTACTAGGTATCCTTCAAATATTTTAGCACAAGGCCGCTCTGTTTGTCGTGGAAGATCTCGGTCGGCCAAGCTGATAAACATCAAAATAATTCTGTTGGCGTTCAAAAATATTTATAGTCTGTTCAAAACAATCAGTTCTATTTAATTTAGCAATTTATTTGAGGCGAAAACTGAACCTGCGAACGTGAAACGCAAATTTTCAAAACTGGGGAATATCACTTGGGGAATATCATCGGATATTCCTCAGTTTTGGCTGCGTCACGTGACGTGTTTATAATTAGACCAATTGCGCGCGAGAAAAATATTTGATGGATTATAACACGCAACGCACGCAAATTCCCCCTAAACTTGATTGACTTGAAACAGGAGAAGAAAACGCCAGCTAACTGTCGAATATTTTTTTCACCTTCACAATACAATTTTCAGAATGTTGATCATGGGTACGAGCGCGTTACCAGGAGGGGAAGTAACGCAAGTCCAACAGTTACACAAAATGGCCGATTAACAGTTCTGTGAAATGTAACCAGGCCCCTGTATCAAAGCGAGGTTTGGATTGGAGACCAGAAACAAGTTAGCATGAGAATATATGATTTACATATGAAAAGAAAGAAGGCTTGTATCAAACAAAGCCAGCTGAAGCCTCGCTTCCGCTCAAAAGTCTGGTACTCTGTGTGTATCCCCCGGGGCTTCCCCCGGGTGTGTATCGAGTGTCTTCACGCATGGAAGACTCTGCACGGAAGACTTGTCAGGACTGAGATGACTTCGAATCAATCTCTTGCTTGAGCGAGTTTCTCTTGTATTATCAATAATAAATATATGTCAGTTTCATTATTTCATATCTCCTACAAAGAAGTACCGAATCATTTTTTACCATTGTGTCACGTACTCGTACGTGACACAAGAGGTAATGTGGACGATCGATGCATTTTTGTGAGATTTCTATTGTTCCATTGTTAACATCTATTGTTAACATTTCCATTGTTAGCACAGGAATCTGAGGAATGTCTGATATTAAAGAGCTTTCCGGTACATGGTTTGTATAAAAAAGTTGACAGGCAAAACATTACTCCTACACGGTTTGTGACATTCGTAGAATTGTCGTTGTTTTAGCGCAAGAGGTTTGTGCTATTTTTAAAATGATTAAAATGATTTGACATTTGCAAATTTAATTTTAGAACTGACTGACCTCTAACCTGCCTCTAAGTAATTGTGAACGCCTGACTCGTAATACAATTGCCTCAAGAGACGACTGGGGAAGAGAGAGGTGACAGGCAGCAATCCAACCCATATGATTGTAAAGCATGCCTTTATCCAGTAACATTTTAATTGAATTTGTGTTGACAATTAGCTAACGACAAAGAATTCCATTGGGAGAAAAGTCCCATACTACAATGACGCAAAACTATGAGTTTTTACGTCATCGCATGCATTTGAGTTAGCGTGGTTGGGGTGTTCGTAGAACTAAAAAACAGTACTTACACTGGGTTAGTATTTGTTTCTGAGAAGATTCTTGAATGTCTAGATTTGGAGTTCAGGTTGCGTTAAGCCCCTTCCACACGAGCAAGTTTTTCCTTGACAAGTTTTCCTTGACAAGTTTTCCTTGCTCGTGTGGAAAGGGAAATTCGGCAATTTTTTCCTTGACAAGTGTCATTGTTCAAAAACAAGCGTGCCAGTTTTTGAACAAGGACACTTGTCAAGGAAAAATTGCCAAGTTGCGAAACTTGTTCGTGTGGACGTGCAACAAGGAAAACTTGACAAGGAATCCCTGGTGCCAGCGGCCTTATCTTGTTGCTCGCGACCTGGATCCTATTAAAGACGATAATCCGCTGTACAATATTATTGTTGTTACAAAGAAAAATTGTCAAAGAAAAATTGTTTATCGTCCACACGAGCAAATAAAATTTGTCAAGGAAAAACTTGTCAAATGAAATTTGTTGTTTATCCACACGAGCAAGGAAAACTTGTCAAGGAAAACTTGCTCGTGTGGAAGGGGCTTTACTGTGGAGTTATCAGCTGAAATATCTTAGAGAAAGTTCTAGAAAGTTAGGAGATTTTATCTGGAGGGGTGATCTAAAGAGGGATTGAAGTGAAGTATTTGGTGTTTGGGATATGTTTATTCTTGAGCGTGGTCATTTTGACTGAAAAAACGCATATGTTAGTCTCTGTTGTAGTAGAAAGAAGCTGTTATCTGGAATACATTTGAAGCGAGTTTCGGATTGTGGTCCAAATGTTAAGCTCGAAGCTGCCTCCCTTCTTTGTTAAGAATATGTTTATCTTAGCAGCATAGTAAGTAATTGTTCCCCCAAACAGTTCCCGACTGTTGAGGATAAACAACAATAAAGTCAGTCACCTTTGCTCTCAGCTGTCTCTGATTCGAGTCTCTAATTGATTCTCAAAATGACATTTTTATGAGACAGCGGTAAAGATTCCCGCGCGACATGATGAGACTGCAAACTACAATAATTTAAATGGCGGCAAATGCAGGCTAAAGCCCCTTCCACAGGAGCAAGTTTTCCTTGACAAGTTTTCCTTGCTCGTGTGGAAAGGGAAATTTGGCAATTTTTTCCTTGACAAGTGTCCTTGTTCAAAAACAAGCGTGCCAGTTTTTGAACAAGGACACTTGTCAAGGAAAAATTGCCAAGTTGCGAAACTTGTTCGTGGTGGACGTGCAACAAGGAAAACTTGACAAGGAATCCCTGGTGCCCAGCGGCCTAATCGTGTTGCTCGCGACCTGGATCCTGTTAAAGACGATAATCCGCTGTACAATATTATTGTTGTTACAAAGAAAAATTGTCAAAGAAAAATTGTTTATCGTCCACACGAGCAAATAAAATTTGTCAAGGAAAAACATGTCAAAAGAAATTTGTTGTTTATCCACACGAGCAAGGAAAACTTGTCAAGGAAAACTGTCAAGGAAAACTTGCTCGTGTGGAAGGGGCTTAACATGTGAGTACAGTAATATATTCTCACTGGGATCCCTACAAACAATGCCTGGGCTATGATTAGATATGGGGAGAATCAGCCCGAGGCGATAGGAGAGGATGGTTCATCGCTGCGGGAGGTGGGTGGGCGAAGCAAAGTGACGTCCTGTCGAAAAGACTGAGCGAGTTATGGCGTGAGGTGTGGACTTAAATACTGAACACGAGGTATTAGTTTACGTAACACATCCCAACGGACCACATACTGCACGTTGAATATATCTAATCAGGAATATGGAGGCATTCTATGCGGGTTCCCCAGAGAGAATAGTTGAACCTCTCTAATACGGACACCGAATGGACGGAACAAAGTGTTCGTATTAGAGAGGTTTCCGTATTATAGAGGTCATGTCCGTATTACTGAGTGGGTCCGTATTATGGAAGATTTGTATAGGTAATAGCATGAGTTGTAGTAGTATTTGGAAATAATACCGCGAGTAATATTTCAAAATGGTTCCAAAATATTTTGGACAATATAATTTGAAATATTACGAGCCGGTATTATTCCAAATACTACGTACAACTCATGCTATTATTTGTTTATAATACAAGGTAGATATCCTACCCGAGCATGTACACGACGATCGTAGCTTCACAGATGTCATTGGAGCTTCGTTTTGAAACGTTTAAGCAATGGAATGCTTTTGTTCAGCTTAGTTATACCACACAAAAGTGTCTTGCTTTCAATATTCGTAGGCTTTTGGACACTTTGACAGATAATCTCGTTGAAATGCCCACTTTAGTCCACACGCTAAACAATAGAAATGTCCGCCATCTTGTTTTTTTCTTCTTCTTAGAGTCAATTGTTACACTTGCCATATTTGGAAACTGTAATTTCTACATGTAAGTATTTCAGTATTTGAGATAAATACAACTCGTTCGAACCAATCACCGTTCAGAAATTTCCGCAGCCTGTATTATAACTCCTGTTATAGGAGAAATATATGGGTATTTTGGCGGGACAAAGGGAACTGTCCATAATATATAGAGAGGTGTCCGTAAGTATAAGCTTTGTATGATTTGATTGTAGTATCATTAAACTGGACAGAACAACCGACCAACCCAACATTGGCAATAAAAGGACAAGATGTGTCACTAACATGGAATTACTCCCTCACTGCTGGTGAACAGCTCAAGAGTCAGGACATATTATAGCATAATCTGGAGTAGGCTAACTCAGTCAAGTTCAGATTACAATAAAATTGGAGCAAAAAGCTTCATAACAGGAGGATTTGGGCTATCTTATCAAGAACCCCAGGATCCACATATTGTGGTGAATAGAACTCATCCAGCTACATTACATATCAAATATGCCAGGAGAGGAAGATGAAGGAATATACAAGATTGAGGCTTTTTTACAATTGGGTGGCAATGCTATTGCTCATCATGAAATTAATCTTACAGTTTTAGGTAAGTTTTAGAGTTTACATATTGTAGCCTACACATTTATTAGTAGTTTGTATTATTATTATGAAGAATATATGAGTGAAATCATGTGAACTGCAGATATGAAATTAAATGATTATGCGATCATCGCAGTTGTGAATGCAACTTTTGCAATTGCAATATAAGCCAGAAAAAACTGATTCTGGCTTTAACGGGATTTGAACCCATGACCGCGTTACTAGTGCGATGCTCTACCAACTTGCCAAAAGCCAGACATTGGGAGCAGGTCAATTGTGAGTTTATAAACCCGTGATAGGAATGAATGTGATAATGAATATATGAATGAAATCATATATGTGAACTGCGGAAATGAGATTAAATGAATATGTGATCATCGCAGTTGTGAATGCAACTTTTGCAATTGCAATATAAGCCTGACAAAAATTCAGTCAATGGAATTTGAACCCATGGGGGTGGGGGTTGTGAGGGGAGAAAATGAGACTATCTAGTTTTTATTTTGTGGATTCGTTTTTGCTGTGGTAGAAATATAAAATCCAGCGTGAAGTAATTTTGTTTAGCTAATAAGCGTCAATCTGTAACTGTAACCTGCACAAAGCTGTGATTCACCTGTGTGTTGTTGAAGGTAATAAGAGCGGCCTTCTGTAATTTTCGCCTAAAGTGTTTTGGACCAGAAAAAATGAAATTGCTCAAACTTTCTCAGAAGAAAGGTCCAGATGAGTAATTCATATCGATATAACTTTTAGTTCAATTGGATTAATATTTTAGCTGTAGCGCGAACATTTCGGTTTCGAGGCTCTCGGACGGGTTTCAGAGGCCATTTCACCACACATTTTGAACACCTCGCCTTGAAAATAAGAGTTACTAAAACTAAATGCTAAGTCATTATTCGGAACAAACAGATGTCAGTTATCAATTTAAGAGGCTGACTGTCGATTTTTATCAAAAGTTGAATATTTTACTGAATTTTGATTGTTTACTCCTTTGAGCCATTTCTGAAGCTCCGATAAAATGGCCAAATTTGAAGGATAATACCTCCAATGATACATGGACTCACTTCATAAAAGTGCACTCCAGTTAAAGAGCAATGTCTCAGCTTCAAATATATGCAATAAAATTTTGGGGCTGTTAAAAATACGACTTTTGGGGAGCGGAAGTGTAAAGGGTACTTTCGTCCACGAACGCCGTCTTCGCAAACAGCTCTACAACGGCAAAATAACCGGATGCGCAAAAGAAAAAATTTAATCCACTTACCTCCTGAAATATCCGGGCCTGGAGATAACAGAATACATCAATTGCATTATCTGCAGGCTACAAGCACATTTTAAAGGAATTAGTACACCCGGGAGTGGAGAATTTCACTTTCAACTCCGAGGCAGATTACCGAAACCATTGAACTTGCAACTAAAATGTTCGATTGTCACATCAGTCGCTGTTTGTAAGGAATCTTACACTTGTGTGGCAATCTAAACGGGGAATGATTCATTTGTATACTTTCAATAACGTACCTTAAAGCAGGGAAGCCGCTGGTTTTCGTTGAGAATCTGTTAACGGTCGCCAGCAACCCGCCATGATTACTGAGATTGCGTTACACAAACAACAAACACGGGAAACTTGCCGATCTATGCAAATTTGTATAACTGAATTTCTAAGATTCTCAAAATGAGTTTCAACGTTTCCCGTATCCTGGGTTTATTTTTTATTTTTTGGTCACTGGGATCAGAAATCAGAAATGCAGAGATATTGCGGTAATCAAAGGTAAGGACCTTATTTACTTACTTACTTACTTACTTACTTACTACTTACTTACTTACTTACTTACTTACTATTCATTTCGTGACAAAATGGACTGCGCCGCGCCGGACAAAATACCAGTTCCTTTAATTTGTTCTGCTATAAACCGTACAGTTTTTAATTTTGCGGACTGATCGAAATCAGCAGTGTTTTAGCCAGGGGTGATCGCTGCACCTTTTAGGGGTTCGGTGGCAAGATTTACCCCGGCGAACCTTTAGGGTATTATCCGAAAAAAGATATGACAGGAACTACTTCAGTGGTCTGAAGTAATGAATTGGGGCGACGCCCACAAAAAAAAATTCCTTTAAAAAAATTTCACGTTTCAAAATTTCCTACAATCACCGCCTTTTGGGAGCCCCCACCCCCGGGTGTTTGAAAGGTAACTTACAAACGTCGGCTAGCTTCGCAATTGAAAGTACGTTCGGGGATGCAGCATCCCCGAGCATCCCCGAGTCAATGTCAAGTTTAGACGCTATTCGAATTTCCTTTGACAGCGGGGTCAGCCGGGGAGGGTAGTGCTAACGAAAGTGATAAGAGCCTTTTGTTTTTGTTGAGCATAGCCGTATTAACAAGAAAAAAGACAGAAAAATAACTTCATGGATCCACAGCATGGAAATAATATTGGTTTCAGAATAATGGTCTGGGGTCGAGAATTTTAGTTCATACTATACATATACTATACATACTGTGAATTTTAAAAGTTACAGGAAATACACATTTTTTTGACTTAATTTCTTAGTATCTAACAATAATCAAGAAATGTTCATTCTCAATACCATACCACTTTTTCAATTCTCTGAATCAGTTTTATGTGCCACTTGGCACTTTCTTACAAAGTGGATGGGTGATATGTGATATACACTAATGTATTGACATATTCCCGGCAGACCTTTACTGTAACTACAACAACTATCTCCCTGAACTTATTTCAAACATAAATGCATCTTGAACACTTTCTATTAAAGGAATGCTATGTCCTTAATTTGGAGAGGTACAGCTGCATGTCTGCACAATACTGCGTAGTAACTGTACGTAAGGCGCCTTACGTGTTCGTGGAATATCGGCAACATTTAAATCAAAATATTCACATATCGAACGAAGCATGATGATGCTTAGTTGTTTGAGACCCGCTTTTGATGCGTTCAAGTTACAGAGGTTATATGAATCAAAAACAATCGGATGAACTAACTGACAATTTTCAAGAATAGTTGCCCGAGTTAAAGAATATGAGGCTTGATCCTCAGCGGCTGCTTTGTCTTCTTCAGTGTTCCCTTCCTGTCTGTACTTGAGCTTAGCAGCCGTTCTGGAGAAATAGGATTGAACTTGTTGAGGAGTTAGGAACTCGTCTACAGTAAACCGTCTATTCCCACCTTCATCCTTCGCATACCTCATATCTTGTGCCACAGTTGCTGCTTCAAGTTTATGACCTGTCTCTTGACCTATGGAGAACTTTTCGTCAAGGTAGCGTTTCTGTCGTTCATTGAAACGGGTGGCCTTCTTGCCCATTTTCAATGCCCAGCCTTGTCGTTGTATTTCCTCTGCAGGGGCAGAAAGTGTGTAACTTTCCAGGACTGGTTGAACGCCACAACCAAGCAGAAGCTTGTCTCTGTAGATTATTCTGGCCATATCGAAAAGGTTTTCCCGTTCAAGAACAATGTTACAAGTACCATACGCCAAATGATTCTCAAGAGAGCAGTAACGCTGGAACTGTTTAACACACCCATCAACCGGGCAAGTGAAGAGCTTTGATGTCTGCTGCTCTGTGCCACCGTTCTCTTCGTCTGGTAGGGACACGGTGGCATCCTTGCTCCCTGGAGCTGAACGGCTGCCAACAGAGATATCCACGAAGTCTCCATCAGAGAAGCAAGTACTGTGAGTCTGTATGCAGTTTGGAACTAGAGAACGCAAAATATTTTATCATTATTATACGACATAGCACTGATTTTAGACATTTTAGAGTGTGAATTTTTATACGGAAATCACTGTTGAAAGCCTATATTTTAGGAAATAATTATGTCGTGTAATAAACAATTTTTTTTTTTCTCGCCGTTTAGACTCGCAAAAATACCCAGCCGCCCCATTACAAAACTTTCCGCTGAATAACCTCTCTATATAGCTGGATTTAGGCTAATCTAAAGGAGAAGGTCACTCCAGAAAGCTGAATTGGCGGGAAGCGTAAATGGACGGAATGACGTCACGATTATGCTACCAGGTTGCTGACTAGTCTTCAAAATGGCGGCCGCCTTAGTCGAATTTTTCGACACTTTGAAGGCAAATTTCGCGAGGTTATGAGGCTCTTTGGAACTTCAAACTATGGTCAGCTCACGGTCAGTAATTCATCTTCATATTTACTTTTTTAATGGTAGCGAGAAAAAAAAAGCGCTTTCTGGGGTGACCTTCTTTTCTGACCTTCTCTTCCTTTAACCCTATTTAGACTGGAGATGGCGGAATCCGCCCCCACTGATAACGGATCTCGATGTTTCCATGGCAACCATATTTTGACGGGCATGTTTTTCCAACTTTGGGATTTCCTGTTTTTAATGAGAATTTTTAACCTTCTTGTCGTAACGTTCGTTTGTATTTTTAGGGGTTTAGACCATTTTAGCATTATTTTATTGGTTTTGATTACTTTTGAGTTATATATATACAATTAGATTTGGTGGTTTTCAGACGTAATAGAAAAATCATGAAATCCAAGATCAGCCGTGGATCCAAGATGGTGGCGCTGTTCAGAAATAAGGATGTAATTCCTTCGCCATATAACGTAATTATCCCATATAGCATACCTCAAAGGAAACATTTTTTTGTAGGTACTATATGCTCTACAAGTTTCATTGTCATAGCTTTAATTGGAGTTTACGGAGGAGTGGGAGGAATCTGCCCCCCTCCCGGTGGTTAAGTTCGTCGTAGTTATTACTATGAATTACTTAAAATTAAACTCAACATGTACCTTGCAGCTGGGACCAGAGGATAGTCTTTTCCTTCACCAATGTTATATGCTTTCCATACAGTAACGCCATCATTCGTGTACGACAAGTTGTTAAGATTGCTCACCCCCTCCCATTTCATAGGCTGTATTGGTACCACACCTTCACAGTTCACAATGGCAACTCTCACACCACGTACACCATTACTGGATACGATAGCATCTCTGAAGTCACTTGCCGTCAGAACGTCATGTCCTTCGTCGACGAACCGACGAACATGAGCCTTGATGGTCGCAGCCTTGCGGTCGCAAGAGCCTTTTCCGCCCTGCGGGTCACTAAAGTCAACCCTCGTTACCTTTATTCCTGTCTTTTCCTGCATCAAATGGCATGCTGCTAGCATTGTTGCGCTGTGGTAACAGCCTGCATTATCTTGACGGAAAGATGCTGTTGTTATTTCTGGGTGTTCGTTTTTGAGGTTACGAAGAGTGTGCTCCATAATGGCCACGACGGCGTTGCTATCCTGTGAGCAATTC